CCTCTTCCCTCTTCTTCCTTTATTTCCCTCTTTTTCTCTCCCAGTCAGACATAGGCAAACACATGCAACACCCCATTTCTACATTCCCTTTGAAGTTCCTGAGCTGGTAATTCTCCTTTCCCCAGTAATTAAAGTCAGCGTTTTCTAGTCGCTCAACCACATCTTCCTTCTCAGATGTGGAAGGAGCTGCTTTTGTCCATTTTACATTTAATGTCTGTAAGATTTCTTCTTAAACTGTGTTCCAAACTTGACATCTCTTCCCCACCTTCCGCAAACACCAGTTCTTAGTCTTCAGCTGCATCCAGCTCTTGCTCTCACCTTTGTGGCCTCAACAGATGACCTTTTCAATATCATAATCACATGTATTCCAAACTCCTCTGCTCTGATAATTCCTATATCCAAACCTTAGCTACCATCTTCATGACATCACCTTCTCTGAGTCTGCTGTCTAACTGCAGCATCTTTAGCACTCAGCTTGAGTAGACATCTGTTACTCATTAGACCTAGAATATCTTACCTCCTTCCTGATCCATCACTTCAGACCTCAGTCCCCTGTGACTTCACTTGCCATCCTAAGCAAGTGTCTGTTTAAACAGACACTTGCTGTCACTAGTAACTTAAAACCTCTGACTTCCCTGAGTGATCATCATCATTTCAGTTACCTGCTTTCTCACCCAAATTAATCATACTCATTATTGCTAGAAACAATCACAAAACATCATTAATTATTTCTACAATTCTAATTCTTTCTAGTAATTTTTATCATTGTCTCAGAGTCATGCAGTTGAAACTCATTGCTGCTGTATCTTTTATTCATCCCCAATACTATCAATTCTCCCCCAGTAGTTACTCCAAACTTTTCTTGCTCCTTTACAATCCCTTCTATTAGCAGGTGACCTCACCTGCACCTTACAGCGGTGATGTGAGTACTACCAATTTTCATTCTCTTCACCTCAATTTCTCTCCAGTGAGTCTGAGTGTGTGAGCTCCTCAGTGACCATCTAAAGTCTGCTTTTTCTTTGAGGCCTTGTATCACCCCCAGAAGCAGGGGCCTCATCTTCCTCTGATCCCACCAGGGTCTTCTCTCGTGCAGTTTATTCTGTGCTTAGTAAATGTTGCCTTCTTTTCTGACATAGGTTTTCCTGCCCCTGACTTCAACGATAATGTAGGACATCAGGAAGTACACTTTGTAAAAACAAATGACAATATAGTATGAGTATGTTACAGTTTATTGATGAAAAATTAAAGCTTATAGAAGATAAGCACACGCCTAATCACAATTCTTGATTTTTCAGACTTTTCATATGAGAAAAAATGAATACTAGTGGCTCAGTGATCTGCCTAAGGTCTTACAGTTAATCTCAAGGCCCAGGACTCTAACCTCTAAAGCTGAATGTCTTTCTAGTCATACCACACTGTCTCCAAACCAGCATCAAGTATTCATGCATCATACATCTGTTTACACTTCATCCAAGCTTACTGTTTCCTTTATTTTTTTTTTAAGATTTATCTATTTATTTATACACGCACTGGGCACAGTCAGAAGTGCGGGAGGGTGAGAAAATTCACCAGAGCCAGAGCAGGGAGCAGAGCGGGCAGAAGGACCGAAGTACACTGCTGAGGGGAGCAGCGGGCGGCAGGAGAGGTCTGCGCGCCATGTGGGACCCTCCTCTGGTGGCCGGGAGCAGCCGGGGATCGAACCGGGGCTGCAGAGGCTGCGGGCAGCTTCGCAACCCAGCGCTCAATAGAACTCAACTAATGCTCTGCTCTGCCCTTTCTATGTATTTGCTCTCACCCTTGTGTGCCCCACTCCTCAAAACCCTGTACTACTCATGTAGAAATCAACACCAATAGACCCAAAGGAAGTCCCAGTTTATTAGATATCTTACACCATACGTTATCTCATTTTACCCTATTAAGCCCTTATAAGGAAATATAATACCCCTCTTATAAATGAGATCTCTAGCATAGAAGGGTTAAGTGATTTCCCCACTTACATTTAGTGGGACAAAGTTAGAATTTAAACTAAGTTGATCTGACCTAAAGCTTCATATTTTTTCCTGCAATGTATTACTGCCTTTGACAGATATGCAATAACTTAGGCAGAATATTGTTATAATGATTGCAATTGGATTTTTACCAATATTCTTTCATAAAATGAATCTATCTTGAGTACACTATGCTACGGCTAGAGTTCCAAAGACTATTTCCAGATTTTTGCTTTCAAGGAGTCTATAGTTTAAAGGGCACATATGTAAACAAAGAATCACATCAGAATAATGATGGCATGTGTCACAAGAGAAGTACCTACAATCCTACATGAATCTGGAAGAATCATGGAGACTTCACAGTAAGAAATGGCTTTTTTTTTTTAAGATTTATTTATATATATAAGAGCTGGGTACAGGCCAGATGTGCGGGAAGGTGAGAGAATTCACCAGAGACAGAGCGGGGAACAGAACAGGCAGACTGACGAAATACACTGCTGAGGGGAGCAGCGGGCATGACAGGAGAGGTCTGCAGTGCCATTTGGGACCCTTGCCGGCTGACCGGGATCGAACCGGCGCTGCAGAGATTGCAGACAGCTTCACAGCACAGCGCTCAACCACCTGCACCACCAGGAGAGGCCCAAGAAATGGCTTTTGAGTTAGACTGAAGGATGAATAGAAATTTCCCAGGTAAACAAGGTATAGGAAGCAAAACTTGTAAAAAGAGAACATTAAGAACAGGGACAAACATGAGAACATAGCAGTAATGTATTATCACTACACTGAGAGTCCAAAGGGAAAGAGATCAAAGTGATAAACCAGGACCTGGTAGATCTAGGATGTTGACTGTCATGCAGAGAAATGTTAGCTTATGTCCTTTTACACAGTATGAAGCCATTGAAGAAATGTAAGCAGAGGAAAGTCATGATCAGCTTTGTCTCCATAAAAATTTACTTAGGTAACAATATAAAATATGTATTGAAGAAAAATTGGATGAGAATGAGAATAAAGAGATTTTTATAATATTCCAGGTGAGAGTTGATAAGAGTCTGCACTAAGCCAGGGGAAGTGGGGAGGGAGCCAGGAAGGAGGGGCAGAGGGGTAGGGAGAACAGGACCAACTAGGAAATGATTAAGCAGAAACTTGCAACATTTGTTTTGCCACATTTGGGTATCCACTAAACCTTTATCCCAGATTCATCATCCTCCAGGCTGCCTTTTCTCTAAATAAAAACAAAATAAATAATAGTTTTCAATTCATGATACGGCTTTTCATCTACTTCATGTAAGCCACCACTTTGCATGATTTTTTTTTTTTTTTTTACATTTTCACATCTGGATCATACAATGAAAAATTACAGGGAACTCATAAATTTTATGAAATCTTTCAACTTCTTCATGAAAACTTCAAAGTTAAAAACAGATGGGCCATCCATCCAACTTTTCTAGTTGAATTTTTGGTCTGGAATTTATTTCCAGTTAGGTTATAATATAAAATCACAAGTAAAGTCACCATAGTTACTCCACATTACAACTTCTGACAGCATCATGATACTGTATTAAGTATAGTTATTCATTTTTTTCCTTTTCTATTCCTTTACAGAATGCAAGACTAGTGACTTATGAACTAACAATTTTTTTTCGGCCTGAATAATGTTCTGCATAAACCTACTTGTCTCATACTTGAAAGAAAGGCAAAGTGTTTGAATCAGCTCTGCAGAGAAAAGGGAAGAATAAAAGTGAATTTTGACTAGTTTATAAACATGTGTATGCACACTGATGTGCTCACATACCCATATATATACATATAAATGTGTGACACCAACATGCCGGTTTTATGATGCATATTTAGTAGCCTCCAGGGTGCTAAAGGCCAGTTCCACCCTCCCATCATATTAATCACCATATCCAGCAACACTGGGTCCTTTTCTCTAATATCTATAAATAGACTACAAATAGGGTTAGCCAGACTTTAATTCTTTTACTTTTAATGAATTAGAGAATACAGAATAAGAAATTGAAAGCTTAGAAGTAAAAATGTGTCACCACTATAGTACTAAATAATCCAGTGCATTAATGTTATCAACATAAAATACCCCTTTTAAAAATTGTTTCTAACAATTTACTAATAAAATTTTATAAATATTTTACTGTCCATAAATTGTTTACTATTAGAATATGATTTTAAGCATTTACTAGGTACATCTAATTCCTCTTACCCTCATCTCTTCATTTCCCAAAACAAGAGGACCTAAAATTGTATAAAGTAGCTGGCTCAGATCACAATATTAACTTACGTATCTTTAAGTCAGCATTCTCCAGAATCTCATTTAATTGAAATAGCTTTGCCTGTGTAAACGTCTCCTTTGTTTAAATAAGATTTCACTGTTTAGTTTTGCCTTAAGCAAACACAGCCATTTGTTTGTCCATAAAACATTAGATTAAATGTATAGACTAATATGAACAGCTTCCCATTGTTCCACATGTACCTCTGGCAGTTGTCCCCTTTGGGGTATGTGGTATCTTGTGTTCATTAAAAATCAAGGCTCTATCTTTACTCTGCTCTTGGTAAAATAAATTTTTGGCAAGGAAACTTCCAAACACCTTACCATTATTGATTTTAAATTTGGTAAAGACTCCCTGAGCTTTACTCTTTAAACGCAGCTCTTAATACTCCTGATACAGTGAATTATATAGGCATTTCCTCTCAAAGTACACTGAGTTTGTCTGTTTGCTTTGTTACTGAGGACCAGTATTATCTGGCTATCTTGCATAGCTAAAAATTTGGCACTTTGTAGGAAGTAATGTGAACTAATGCTATGAGCAATTATTTGTTCCCTTCAATCCAACTGTAGCTTATATTCTGGTTTCTACTTTGATTAATACTAATTTGCAGGTCTGTGCTTAGTGTTTTGTTTGCTTGTTTGTTTTTTGTTAAGTCTGACATCAGATCCCCGGTGGAGCGGGCAGGTGTCATGGCATTCTGGTCACAAGTGCATTTTCCCCACTTTAGGCAATGCTGGATGTGGCTGCAAACCAGGGCTGGCTGGTGACTGCCCTGAATATCACCAATCTAGTTCAGATGGTGATCCAGGGCCGGTGGTTAAAAGACTCTTCTCTTCTCACCGTACCAAACATAGAACACCATCACCTTCACATTTTCAGGTAATTGTTTTAAATTTCAATGTGATTTTTTTTTAATTTCACAAAAGCATTTTCTTTACATGTGTGGTCACTGGAATCTCCTGCTGTGCCTAGAATATTGATTCTTTACGGTGAAATGCCCTGGTTTCCCAGAGGGGGAGATGGCCTGCTGATAGGATATTCTCACTTGGAATTTGATCATCCATCCTAAGCCGAACCACTATTCATTTTAACTTTCTATTAAATTGTTTTCTATTTGCAACAGTGGCACACTTCTAAGTTAGCTGTGTTCCTTCCTTTACAATGTCAGCTTTCATATGAAAAGATGTTATTAAAGTGCTTTGTGATATAAAGCAAAATAAGTTACCAGTTTCTGTTATTGCCAAATAGATTTGAGTGATCTGAAAACTATTGTCAGAAGCAAATTAGGCATCTGAAGAATGTCCAAAACTGGGGAGTTTTGGACACAAAAATATAGCTTGTGCTCAAATTATTTAACCCTTAGATCCTATGTACATGTCTACAAATATTTTAGCAAAGAAAAGAACAGTACACATCACAAGCAAGGTTGGCAGTGTTTAAATGAAAATATTTCTTTCACACCAGTGTTTCACACCAGTTGATAGACACTTTCTAGCCAAAATATGATTCACAAGCATGTAGAAAAGCAGATACTCTGACGGCAGCTTGCCCCAGGCACCCTGTGCCTCTTGTCAGCTGGACCAGGAGTCGCACTCCTTGGAGGCATCTAGGCAGTTTCTGACCAGATCCTCAGATACACATGGATCTCCTCAGGAAAGTCCCTCAGGTTGACTCAAGTGTATGGGTGCCAAAGTAGTTGTTTCCATAGTGCTTGAGTCCCCACCTTGGGATGTCCCTGGAAACTAAGAGGCACATTCAGAGGGTAAGCCACCCCAGAGGCAGGTGGCAGGGGTAGAAAAAGCTCATAGGTCTCAGCTAGATACCTCATAGGTCTCAGCTCAGTTTCAGGAGCTCTTCCAATATGGTACTAAAAGTCATGGGAGTTGGGTTTCAGCAGTAATGCAGGCAGTTCTGTTACAGAAGCTGCTTGGGACCTAGGAGATTTGATCCAATTTTTTGCTGTCACATTGAAAACTGCTATGTTAGTATAATTCAAGTATATAAATATAAATATATTTATATTCCTCCCTCTTGCTGTATAAACAGGAAAAAGAAAGTAAGATTCAGATGTACTGTGTTCCTGGGGATCTGGCACTCTAATGCTATAAATCTCAGAGTCCCAAAATGTACTTTTAATTGTATGTTCCCAACAATTTAACAACAAAAACTATTTTCAAGTAATTATTTAGAGATATTTGCCTGCATCAGGGCTCCGGTTTATATTTTATCCATATGGAAGCATTAATATACATTAACACCTTCCTATAAAAAGGTACCCCTGTGTGTGAACCCAAAATATTTACTGAGCTCACATATGATTTATTTTATGTCATAATAGTGATGACATGACACTATCATGACACATGATAGTGATGACATGACATTTTCTGATAGCTCAGAAAATGCAGACTGATTTTGAAACTTAACAATAGTGACTTTAAAAAGTTATTATTGTAGTCTAAATCTTAAAAAACTGTTGTAATTCTATAAATCATCATTATCAGAACAATCTCACTGGTGTTATGAAAGACTTATGTAGTGGTTGTTAATATCATTTCCTAGGAAATGGAACCCAGGTCTAAAGGGCCCACGTGCTGGGGCTCACAGCTGCATGGAATGCCTTCCTGAGCTGATCCACGCCTGTGGAGGGAAGGAGCATGTGTTCAGCTCCATGATAGGAAACGAGCTTCCGGCCACAAAAATGAAGCAGGTAGGACCATCACTTCCTCACTTCAAAACTCCCTGACTCTGTCTGAGAAGATATACTAAGAGTTTTCTTAGTTAAAGTAGTGGTTTTGGAGTCAGACTTACTGGGTTGAATTTTGTCTGCCATTTACCAACTATAATTAGAACTTGAAGGCATTATACCTATCTCATAAAGTTCTTGTGAAAATCATGCAGAATATTATTATGTAAACTGCTTCATGGAGTTCCTGATATAGAGTAAGACCTCAATACTTGATATTAAAAATTATAATAATAATTAGTGATTTAATAAAAGTTGTTTCAGTATAATACAGTTCAGCTGGTGAGTGAAGCATACCATAGTGTGTCCAGCACTGAGGTTGTGTTACCAATGAGTCCTTCTGATCCCTTTCTTCAGGATAGGTTTCTCTTTTTAATGCTTGATTTTATTTCATGGAATTCCCTCATTTACTTTTTTATGACCCTCATTTTAATCACTTTATATTTCCTAGATTCTAAAATATTCCTTCAACTAAGTTCATTTGTATACCAGATAACTTAGACAGAAGGCAAAATCTATTCCATGAAAGACAAAATAGGTTGTCTCTCCAAACCATCTTTGGAAAGACCAAAAAAATATAAATGAACAATGTCAGAAATATTTGAAATATTTAGATTTTTAAATCTTAAGCAATTTTACCTCAAATTTGCCAAAGTAAATGTTCATGATTTATAATATAGTTAACATATATTAACTTATACATACAAATATTAAAATAAAGAAACTTCTAATCCATGTCATTTTTCCCAGTAAAACTTATTTTTGACTTGGGAAAACTATGACAGACAGTAAATTCTGATTGTTCAATTTCTGTTGAACCCAAAATTGGCACCAAAAACTATCTAAATATTCATAGTAAGTGCCTACCTTTCTAACTAAATTACCATCAAAATTATGAATAAAAACAATATATTTAGATCAAAACAAGGTTTCTGTTAGCAACAACAGATTTCAAATATAACATACATTGATTTCAAGCCAAGTTTTAGATGTGATAAAAAATTAGAACATTGTTTTAATTAGTTCAGGGAGAAATCAGAAGTAAACTTACTTAATTTATTTGCATAAATTGCCATTCTGTTATCTTTAAAACCAAATGCAAATTGGCTCAGTCTGATATGATGATGGTTATTTGGCTCAAAAGTGCTTCAATTTGCAGAGCAATCTGGTGTCGGCTCTGCAGTGAGGCGATCCCAGGTAACATACAAATCCTGAATTATTCCAGAAATTAGTATGTTTAAAGCATCAATTTAAGTGCTAATTGCAGTAGTAATGAGAAAAAGCAGTACGACTGTGAGATTTGCATCTCCTACCCCATCAGTATGCCTGGAACGGCTGCTGACTGGCAGAGGATTTGGTTGCTAATTAAATAATTGTATGCATAGCAGTGCTCTTGCCTGATTCAATAGATGAAGATTAATCCTCAGATAAATATGTTTGGCTGGTATTGAAATGTCTTAGCAATTTCTTATAAAATAGCTCATTTTATATACGTGTATGTATACATATATACACACGTACACACACACATATACATACGCGACAAATGTACATTGAGAATTGAAAAGTAACAATAATATTAAGAACTACATACATTACAAATATATAAAAGTCAGGTCTGACTTTGGAGGGTTTTGTAAAGTACAATCCCAAGTTGTTTTCTAACTGCAAACACTGGCAACTAATTCGATAGTATATGTAAAGAAGTATATGAAGTCTTGCTTCATGTGGTAAATGTTACATGTGTTATCTCATATAGCTAGTCGTTTTCTAGAAATTGTGTATTTAATGTCTCCTGGATCACTTCTCCTTCCACTCTGGCCAGTCTTAGAAGAACATCAAATGGCATAGCTTCTATACTATGTGACTCATGGTTCTGGAGAGAGATCATCATTTGTTAGCTTTAAGTATGATGTAGAACATTCTTTAACTTAACTGTGTCAAGATCTATTCCAGACATCATTTACGATTCACAAGACAAGTTATAGCATTGGAGATAGATTGAAAATTTGCATTGGATTTACATTTTTTGAATTCCTAAAGGGTAGTTTGATTCATTAGGGCTACTTCATTTCAATTAAGTATAATCAGCAGCACTAAAGTCTTACCAAACAAAAAATCAAAGTCGATACGGAAATCTATAGTATATATTAATGAAATCAAAGGAAAGTCAAAGTATTCACATATTTTAAAAAACTAACTTAGAAGGTTAACAACTGATAAGACAGCCAACATAGTAAAAAGTTTTCTTGACTGCTAACGTCTATCCCTTTAATATATGTCGCTTTAAATAATATTCTCAATATGGTAATACCAAAAATGCATATTTTCTTATAGGCACCCTAGACTTACAAGGTTCCTGAAAATATACAGATGTCTAGAAAAGTTTTCCTTTTGGAATAAATTGGGAATATGAACCAAAAAATTTTGTACATTGTGGTCAATGGGTGATGCTGCTGACTGGCTGACTGACATCAATTGCATGACATTTTTTTCAAGTTGCCTTTTTATCCCCCAAGTGATATTTGTCACCTGAGGACTCATATAGAGGCTTCAGTTCAACAACAAACATTTTTATTATTTGTTAGGATAGTCAATACCCACTCAATATCTAGAAAAGAATCACAATAAAGTGGCCACACATTAACAAATGTATTAATTATTTTCGAGTTGCTTTTCAAAGGATTTACACAACAGAGATTAAAAGAATATTCTTTTGACCCACACACAAATGATGAGAAGAAAATCTGGGGAAGTCTGTGAGGAACAACCGTGGTATCAATATCCTAGTATTAATATGGTCATTTAGTTTTGAAAATGCTGCTATTGTGGGAAGCTGGGGAAATGATGCACAGGATTTCTATGTAGTTTGCCTTATAGCCGCATTGAATCCGGAATTAGTTTCAGATCAGAGGTTGACTGTTTCAAAAGCACACTGTCTTTTATTTGATGACTACATTTCACAGTAGCCATTCCTTTACTATCTTTTCTTACTTTGTTCAGGCATGGAATTTCATATCTCACTTGCCTGTGATAGATGTTGGCTTGAGTGTTAAAGGCTGGTGGGATGACTCAGTTGAAGGACATAACGAACTGTCTATCACAACTGTGACTTCAGACAAACGAAATGACAACAGATGGATCAAATTGCATGCTGATCAAGAGTATGTGCTTCAAGTCCACTTGCAGAGAGTCCACACTGGGTTCCAAAAGGTATAATGTTTGGTTTCCATTCTCAAATGCTTCACACCAGATGCCAACGTGCACCACCACACATAACTTTCATATTACTAATGTGTCCGTGTCATTCATGAATCCTACTTTCTCAACTGGCCTTAAGCAGCAAGTGTCAGTCTTCTGAAATTAGTCATTTTTCCTCATGTGCCATTTTTCAACTCCAGAATATTCACCTTATATAATGAGCTGCCTAGAGTACTGTACCCAAGTATGGTCTATAGGCTTGGTCCAGCAGAATTTCCTGGGGTGCCTAGAAGAGTGCAAATTTCCTTGGTCCTACTTCAGAGTAACTGCATCAGAATCTCAGGGTGGGACCTCAAAATCTATGCTTCTATGCATCATCCCCAAATGATTTTTAAGGTTATTAAAGTTTGAAGAGCACTGCCCCAGAGGTACTTTTGGGTTCAAGAACACATTGGGGCAGGTGTAGATGAAGGAAAGCTCTGAGTTTGAATAAGACTAAGCTTTTCTACACCTCGGTTGCCTCGTTTGCCTGCCTCCTTGATGAACTTCTTTATAACACATATGAGAGAGCTTTGGCAATGTTCATACAGGTCAAACATTTACAATATTTTTATTGTAAATGACTGTGCCCTTTTCTATTGCCCATTACATCAAAATTAATTATTTAGCCCTCTAAGAATATTAGTACACACCATGTGGGCAGATAGGTTTTAGTACAGTAATGACTGAATAAGAGAGAATTTGTCTTCTCTTTAGACTGAAGGAGTCAGGGGCTTTCCCAGGTCTGGAGTAAGCCATCAGGAGTGAGTTGTCGTCCTTTCCCCTCTATTTTCACACGCAAAATAGTCATTAACTTTCTGTTGTTAAACTGTCTTGTCAGTACTATGCCTTCAAGTCCCACATCATTCTAAAAAGCACTAGCATTTTATAAAATTTACTGTGGGCATTTTTAGATGACTTCATATATATCAACTTACCAAAAAAATAATAATCATACAGATAAAATTATGGGGGGATAATAAGATTTTTACCTTACTACTTAAGCATTAGATTTAACAATACTAGAAAAACTCTAAACTGTGTTTCTAAATGCTACAAAAATACATTAATCCCTGACCTCTCTTTTAAAATGCCTTAAGTGAAATATCTCTCAATAGAATACTGAATCGAATCTGATTAAGAGCATGTAATTATTGGTACATGTCATTATAAATACACTTTATGCCATAAAGTCATTGTCTTAAAGAATCACTGGAATAATCTTGTATTTTACAAAATGAATCTAAAATAAAGACTTCAAGTGCTGTCATTATGGTGATATCTAATCTTGGATTGTGGTGATTAATGTCTTTTATAAATTGCTTGTCTCACAATTTCCTGTGCCTCTGAGAAAGGACTTTTAATATTACCATATTAGAATACATGTGAGTTTTGTTCTTGGATGGAGGGAAGGTGTTTATATGATATAGTACTTACTCTCTTGAGGTAGAGAGTCTAATTATGATTGCAATGTTCCCCCGTAATGTTTCTTTCTTGTCAATAATGCTCTGGAAGATTTGGTTAGCCTGGTTTATCTCATGTTTTCACCTGCAAATGGAATATCAATATCGCTTATCAGATTGATATGAGGATTTACTGATTTGATGTCAAGATTCAGGTCTTTCTTTTCTAACTCTACATAATATTCTGATGGTTGTAACCACAAAGTAGTATCTGTGATGTGCTTTGTGGACCTTGAGGAAAAGTAAGTGAGAGAATATCAAAGAAACTAAACTAAACTGTGATTAAAATCATCCTAGTTAGCTATACTGAGTCATGAAATTTATTGCTTTCAAGTAAGACATAGTCTTTTAGCTAGAACCAAGTGGGTGTAGAAAATCTAGGCACTTATAATGAATGATACATCATGGTTTTTTTCTGGTTTGCAGGGAAAGCAGGACAGCCATGCTGTTGCCCCTCGATTTCCCAAGTTTAAAGATGAAGGATGGTTTTTGATCTTAGGAGAAGTGGATAAGAGAGAACTTATTGCTTTGAAAAGAGTAGGATATGTTCGGAATCATCATGTTGTTTCCATCTCTTTTTATACCCCTGAGGCACCTGGGAGGTAAGCAGAATCTTAACCACCAAAGTTCTGGACAAATTTATTATGACTGTAACAAAAAGTGGTTTTACATTTTTGCTCTAATTTTACATTTTAGGTATATCTACACACTGTATTTCATGAGTGACTGCTATCTTGGCCTGGACCAACAGTATGACATCCATCTCAATGTCACCCCAGCCAGCGTTTCTGCACATATCAACGAGGAGTTCTCTGATGACTTGACTGACCTAAAAGTGAAGTAAACGGACCCAAACAAGCCATTTGAAAGAAGTGGTAAAGCAGTGAAGCTGTTCAGTCTTCTAGACAAAGTTATTACTTTGGTGTTTGCCTTGGTGAAATCTACTTCTACCCTTAAGACACTCAGAAGATTGATTCCACCAACACAAGTTAGCTGCAGAGGCTTTTAACAAATGTTGCCTTTTATAATATTATCTTCAAGGGTTTCTTGATAATAATTAAGCATATAGGAGGGTCAGCTAATTCGTGTAATTCAAGATGATATATAGGAATTATCAATAAAATTCTACATCTCACAATATTCTGTTTACAAAGAATATTGAGGGGTTTTTGTGTGTGTGTTGTTTTTTTCTAAGATTTATTTATACATACAAGAGCTGGGGTACAGGCCAGAGGTGTGGGGGGTGAGAGGACTCACCAGAGGCAGAGTGGGGAACAAAACAGACAGACTGACCGAAGTACACTGCTGAGGGGAGCAGCAGGCGAGTCAGGAGAGGTCTGCTGCGCCATGTGGGTTACTCCCTGGCTGGCCAGGAATTGAACTCTTGCTGCAGTGGCTGCGGATAGCTTCATAGGTTGCGTCTTAACCCTTGCGCCACCAGGGAGGCCCCTGTGTGTGTTTTTTGTTTTGTTTTGTTTTGTTTTTAAGGAAATATACACTAAGTGCTGACAGTGTTAGGATTTGTTGTAACAGATTTCTAGACCTGCAGCATTAGATACATAAGATAAAATAGAAGGTCATTGTGTGTCTTGTTAGCAAATTTATACTTTGATCACATATAGATTCAAGAATACCTTACCATTATAAATGTTAATAATAAATGAAATAAAATCACGTGGAGCCCAGTGATGACAAAAAAAAAGAACAGAATATACTGATCTTAGAAAATGTAGATACTGTAACTGGTGGAAATAAAATACTTAGAGTGCCTCTTCAGGATAAGCTGACTCAGTTGTTTCTCCTGCTTCCTTTTCATTATATCCCCTCTTCCTTTTTTTTTTTCCTTCTTCCACCCCCTTCTACTCTAAGACATATTTATTTATATAAAGAGAGAAATACTACTTTCTGTTGTTACATATAGTACAGCCCCGTATAGTATAATTCTTTGTCTTTATGTTCTCAAAACTTGTCTGAGGCAAATATAGAAAATTTTTGACCCTTACAGGTAGAATTTTACCTGTGATAAAGGAAATTTCTCTATGTCCAAATAATTTTCATGTTGAAAAGTATTTTTCAAGCTAGAAAGTAATTAGAATGCACTGTCCATTTTATTCCAGTGCAGTGAAATTCTATCTTTGCAAAGGAATGTCAGTTATTCCTGGTCCTATGGTGAATTATTTTAAAGTACTTTCCAGTATAACTACCACAAGTACTACAATTTAAAAGTTTCTATGAAACTGATACATATTGCTTGTGTGCACATGCTTTTTCTCGCTAGAAATTTAAAAAAGAAGAAAAAGTAGGATAGGGAGAACCAGGCACTCACTTCCCAAAGTTAAATCTGAAGAACGAATGTGAGCACACCTAGTACCTGGGCCCAAGGTGTCAGAAGGACAGTCTCAGAAGCTTACTTCACGTAGTGTGCTCTGCTTTTCCTTTAGTAACTTATATCCTAATTGAAATTCATACCTTAACCATCACTTTAGTGAAATTAAAAGAAAATGAAGATTATAGACAAATGATCATCTGTCCATACAGGAGCCTGAGGAGAAACAGTCTCATTTTCATGTTTCTGCCTCATATCTTTTCATTAGAGAGCAGGCGGGCACGGACTGGTGTAAGAGCTCCTTCACTGGGTACAGGACACAGGACTCAGGGGCAATAAGGAAGAATTGTTCTATCCACCAGGTCTAGGGAAAACAATATGACTAATTAAAAGTGATTAGTTCAGAATAAGCTGCAGAGGACCCTGATAAGGCAAGGTGCACTTTGATGGAAAAGTTAATCTTACTCCAATGAGTAACCAATGCTCTTTACCTACGACTTTGTCCTCACCTATTAACCAGCATGTTATTGTTAAGAGTGCATTATAACAGGACATGTGCCAACAAAATCAGATTGATACTACTCTTTTCAGAGCTATCAATCATTAACTTCCCATTTAGTGGCCAAGAACTTCACCAATATTTCAAATTATTGTAAATCCTGATGAAAGAGAACTTCTTTATCCTCCTAAAATTTCTGAAGGGAAATTGTTTTTCTTGGGGAGAAAAGTTATAATAAAAGATTTCATTGGGCTGAATTAATGTGTTCTCAACTGGAACACCCATAGCATCTCAAACCACACACTTCAGGGCTGGCTATTCTGTGGTGCAACTCTGATTTCATGCTGTGTCATTTCACGTCCTTCTGGATATTATATAATTAAAGCGCCAGGTATTTGTCCTAGGTTACTATATTGAGTGCTCTGACAGCCACGTGAATCAGAGATATCCTGCTCTCAAACAAGGCAGACTAGTTATGAAAAGGAGATGGACATAATTATAATAAAGAAATCACATTTACTAGTAGAAGTGCAGAGGAATGCTATGGGAGTTGAGCTGTGAGATATTAGAAAAATCATGAAGGGACATTTTGTCTGAATTTTGAAGATGGTTAGAATTATGAGCATTCCCTGTAGAACAGCATCCACAAATCTCTGAGAGAGCCTTACCCGAGTGCCAGGTAGGTCTTTTTCAGAGACATGAAAGGGATTAACAGGCCAGAAGAATGGAAAGTATATGAAGTGACCTTGAATTAGGTAAGGACTGCAAACTTACATGTATGCAATGGGAATCCTTGGCAGGCCGCCAGAAAAGATCATGACAACATTCTGAAACCAGAACAGAGAACAGGGAGAGAGGAGATAGCCAAGAGTCCGGGAGGGCACACATCCATGCCTGAGTGGGTAATGGATACTAAGTGTTAAGGCAGGGACTGGAGATCCTAGTGAAAAGTCCTGGTTTTGTGGCTAAGTGGGGTCATTAATGATTGTTACGATTTCAGTAAAATAAGGAAGGGAAAGTTTAAGTTGCAGGACCTGAGTGGGCAATGAGAAAAGAGAAGCAGTGAACTATGCAGACTTTTTCATTTAAGGTCTAATTTGATGGAGCGTATGATGATAGAATAAACACTACTTGGTAAGAATCAGAAAGTCTCTGTCTCCTGGCTACTTCCTGAAAGTGTGTAGTCATCCTCCAAATAAAGAATGCAGTTGACTTTCAAATAAGCTCTTCTAATGATACTGCAAAAATGGAATAATTATGGATTCCAGGACTCTGCATCTTTACCTGTGTTACCTGTGTTAGCTGGGTGTTATCAGAAAATATGCTCTATTTCCCTGTTAAAGTAGTTTCACCAAAGATGTCTAAGGAATAGGTATAGATTTTAAAAACTGGGTTTACTGTATCAAGAAAAGCAGTTTTATTTTTTTGGTTTTGCTTTTTTTTTCCCAGTGAATTTCTTACTCGTGTGTTATTGATTATCCCATTACATATTGGAACTTTTAGTATCATATCTGGTCAACTCTTCTGTTCCCATTTCCTCACCTATAAAATAGTGGTAACTCCTACCCAAGCTACTTCTCAGCATAATTGGTTCCATCAGGATAAAAAGGGAAATGAACATAATTGCTATATACATAGTGCCTGGCATAGCAAATGTTTTATCAATATTGTTGAATTAATCATTTATGTGAAAATGCTTAGAAAATTATAAAAAAAAAAAAAACATGAAGGGTAAATAAAATGTAAAGTCCAAGGTGATATATTGTAAATAAACTCATTCAGGGTTGATTTTTTCAGCAGGTCAGGAGGCTCTGAGCCCAGCCTGCCATAGCTACGCCCATCAAAAACAATAAAGTCTTTTTGCCCAGAGATTCACTTGTGTCCATTCCTTTGTGCTACATTATCTCCACCTCTCCAAATGCAGGTGCATGCAACTTGAGGTTGCAACTCAACACCCCGATGGGATTGGAAATTCACTCCAGTGGAACTTTTCTAAGGATGCTTCCTGGGAATATGTTTTGATGGCTGGTGATGGGGTACACAAAGGACACAGCCCGTGCAAGAGATGCCTAACTGCCTATTTCTACCCCTTTGGCTTCAAGGATAAATTTAACAATCTTGTCAAGAACATTTTTTGACATCTAGATCAGCAGAAGAGACCACCAGAAATAGAGCAGTGTTTGAGAGGAGGAGGATAGGCAAACCTCACATTTTCACCAACTGGAACACAAGATATGTTGCACTCAGAGTAAAATGACATTTTAAGCAAGTTCTAAAATACCTTGAAAATATTTGTGTACTTCCTTTAATATTTCAAGCAACACCCACCCTTCCCAATCTCCCTAGGAGTTATGTTGCTCTCATGCTTGTACAAGCATGAAAATCAATTTAAGTATATTTAGTAAAAACCTAAACCCTTTCCTTTTAAAAGCAAATATTTGATTTTTCTTTCAGAAGCACCTATTTTTACACCATTTTATCCAACCTCTGAAATCTAATTCAAGCCAAAAATAAGGAGAAAAAAAAAAATAGGCCACTGACTTCTAATATGGCACTGTTTTTAGCAGAAGCCATGAGAATAATATGGACATCTTAGTAAAACCTCAATCTTATTTTCTGATACTTTAGAAAAATGCATTCCTCTAAAAACACATTACCCTTCAAGTGGCCTTTGGAGGAACTGAAACATTGAGGAAATCCTTGGATTGCAGCAAAGAACATTCTCCGTGGACAATTCTAATCAATTATAGAAACATAACTGTACCCAGATCATATAATGTTCCACAGTGATGATCCTGGCTCCTGTCCATCTTATAAAACACTGCAACTCATAAACACCAGTCCTGCTGCTGTTTGCAGCTCTCCAACCCAGAAAGATTTACTCTCAATTGATTGTTACTTTTCATGCTGAAAATGATTGTACATCTGTATCTTCTATTTCACTTTTGTCATTTTGTTATCTTTGCCCACTGTGTTAATTATTTTTGGATGCTTCATCCTATCTCCAAACAATATCTTTGAAACACTCCTGAGGAAGCATTGCATAAATATTGAATGTGTTAAAGACAGAGTCTGAGGTAATTCAGAATGAATTTAAGTAAATTGATTGGAATCAACTTTTATTTAGGAAATCTTCTAGGGACAATTCTGACATATTTAAAGTAACTGTTCACAGATGCAATTTGCATGTGCATTCCAACCAATTCATGCTTCAGCAATCAGAACCAAAATACATGACTTTAAGAAGCTGGAAACAGCTAAGAATGAGAATCAGTAAGATGATACCAGTTACAGTAACAAAATACCTAGGAAAATTCTTCAAACATTTTTTAATCAAATCAAGTTAACTGTGTAACAATGAGATATTAGAATGAAAAAGGAAAATGTAAAGTATGTCAAAGCTGGAGCTATGTATGTGTTTTACAGATTCAGTAGACAGAAAAATGAGATCTGTTCCACACGGGTGAATAGTAAGGGAAAGAAAAGTAGCAACCTGTAATTAAAAGTCAGATATCTTGCATTCCATTTGACAGTGCCTTCTTGGATATAACACCAAAGGCACAGGCAACAAAATAAAAAATAGGCAAATTACACTTCATAAAAGCTGAAAATTTGTGCATCACAGATGCTATTAAAAGAGTAAAAAGGCACAGAATGAAAAAATATTTGCTAATCACATATCTAATAAATGAATACTATCCCAAGTATTTAGAAGATTCCTAAAATTCATAAACAACTCAAACCAAAAAAACCTAATACAAAATGACCAAAGAACTTGAATAGACATTTCTCCAAAGGAGATCTATAAATAGCTCATAAGCACATGAAAAAATCCTCAACATCGCTAGAGACATGCAAATCAAACCCATAACAAGCTACTACCTCACACCAATAGGATTGAAAAAAAAAAATGACAAGCATTGGTAAGAATACAGAAAAATTGTGCACTGTTGGTGGAAAAGTAATACAGTACAGCCACTGTGGAAAAATAGTATTACAGTTCCAAAATAAATTAAAATACAATTACCATCTGATCCAGCAATTCTACTTTAAAGTATACACCCAAAAGAATTGAAAGCAACTTTATTTATAGCAGCCAAAACAGGAAAGCAACCCCAATGTCCATCAACAGAAAATAGATAAGCAAAATGTGGCATGTACATAAAATGGAATATTATTTATCCTTAAAAAGGCAAGAAATTCTGACATATTCTACAATATGGATGAACTTTGAGGACATAGTGCTAAGTGAAATATGACGGTCACAGAAATACTGTATGATTTCACTTACATGAGGAACATAGAGTAGTCAACTTCATAGAGACAGTGGCTGTTGCCAGCGACTGAGGGGCTGAGAGGGGGTGTAAATAGGTATAGAGTTTCAGTTTTACAAGACAAAAAGCTCAGGAGATGGGTGTGGTGATGGTTGCATAACAATATGAATGTATTTAACACCACGGACTGTATTCTCAAAAAACGGGCTAAGATATCTACTGGACTTACAGATTCACTTCTTTTTTTTTAAAGATTTATTTATGCATACAAGAGCTGGGGTACAGGCCAGAGGTGTGGGGGGCGGGGTGTGAGAGGATTTACCAGAGACAGAGTGGCGAACAGAACAGGCTGACTGACCAAAGTACACTGCTGAGGGGAGCAGCAGGTGAGTTAGGAGAGGACTGCTGCACCAGGTGGCGTGAGTTGCTCCCTGGCTGGCCTGGCCGGGGATGGAACTTGTTGCGGACAGCTTCATAAGTTGTGTCTTAACCCCTCGCGCCACCAGGGAGGTCCCCAGACTCACTTTTTTTTAAAGATTTATATTTACTTATGCACACAAGAACTGGGGTATAGGCCAGAGGTGCAGGGAGGTGGGGGTTGAGAGGATCCACCAGAGACAGAGTGGGGAGCAGAACAGGAGGATCTACTGAGATACAGTGCTAAGGAAAGCAGCAGGTAAGACAAGGAGAGGTCTGCTGCGACATGTGGGTTAACTCCTAACCTGGGATTGAATTCATGCTGCAGTGGTTGGTGATAGCTTCATAGTGCTATTAATCCCTGCGCCACCAGGGAAGCCACCAGATTCACTTCTAATGAGCAGAATATAACAAAGTGAAAAGATACTACTTTTAAGACTAGGTCATACTGTCTTTGAGATTTATCCACATTGGCTTAGTTCGTTGCACTGTATTGAATATATCACAGTTTATTTATTCAGCTTTACACTGGTGGACATTTATATTTGTTCCCAATATTTGCCACTATAAATAATTGCTATAATAAATGTTTCTCTCTTCTCACTGAATTATCTTTAATTTCATTAAAATGCACACAGCGACAATATGGATGGAAATAGAAAGGATTATGCTAAGCAAAATAAGTCAGAAGGAAAAAGACAGACCGGATGGTGTTATTTATACGTGGAACAGAGAAAAACAAAAGAAAGGGTCAGATAAAGTCAAACTAATAACAAACCCCAGAAATCTGACTGTAGAAGGGAGGCTGCCAGAGGGGGAGGGGAATAAGAGAGGGAAGTAGGGGAGAACAAATTGGAGAGGAAACACAATGGACTATGTAGCGGACTATAGGAGCTTGGATCCGGGTGAGGTGTGGTAACACCACCCAAGGGGATTGTTACCTCTAAAACACAAGCAACATTGTAAAATACACACAGCTAAATATTCAAATTGAGATTTATTTCCAAGATCAAAAGAAATTAGAAAGAATTTGTGATTTATCTAAGCTAGTATGACGTTTCTATTTTTAAGGCAAAATTGAATCTACCAAGGTGAAATCAAGCTTTCTCCACAGAAACACATGCCAGTAAATGATGTTAAAATTGTACAGAAGAATAAAGGCAGCCATGGGCCCTTGCTCAGGGCTGAGGCTGCAGGAGTCAGGCAGTGTCTCATGATTTCCTACTTAGGTACAGATAGAGCTTACTAGCGGGCGCCTTTATTTTTCCCTATACCTTTAAGCTTAGATTTAGTCGCAGAAATTGTGAGTGGATGCTGCTTTTGTGCCTGCAGAAATTCTGAGTGGAAGACTTCTGCACAGGTGGGCTCCCCAAGAGTCACCTGAAGAGTGGAGAAGCCGAACCATCTGTGCTCTGCTGCAGCGGGTGATGCTGGCTCTGACCCTGGGCTGCCCTAGTGGCTGCTGACCTGGGGGTCAATCTCCCCGCACTACCGGAGTGAAGCTAGAGTTGTCAGCCTAACAAATGGGAATGTGCCCTGTCACTATCCCTCCAGGCAAAACAGGATTAGTTAAAATGTCATCATGAGTTGACAAGCAGGGCTGCATGGTTCATGGTGCATCAGGGTCTAGAAAGTTTCTCTTCTAGTTTTGATATACAGACTTTTAAAGTTGACATTAAAGCTATTTCTCCCATACAATGTATTTGCCCCGTATTTGGGGGGCACATTTGGTTATTCATATTTGGGGGCATATTTGACTATTCAGATTTCTGGAGTTTGTTATTAGTTTGACTATCTGACCCTTTGTTTTGTTTCTCTATGTGCCACGTATAAATAACAAATAAATTGATATTTGGTTAAACATCTTTCTATTTCGTTTCAGTTGATAGAAAAGGCGATTCCTGCAGTCTATTACCTCCCAAATTTAGCTCTAGTATAGCCACTAGGACACAAAAGTGTCAAACACGGAAAAGCCAGTGATGCAAATACAGTAACACTTCACTATGACATACCCTGAATAGCTATGCTTATGCACACGAGTGGGCAATCTATTTAAAGGGATATCAGATTTTTTTAAAAAATGGCAATCACCAGTGTACTACAACTTTACAACTTAATATTTCTTCAAGCAAAAAAAAAAAAAAATCACAAAAATTCCTTCAATATTTCAATCATTTTCAGATGTAATCTATACCTCTAGAAATATATATGTTTTAGCTCATGTGCAT